AAGAAAAGGTGAAAAGATGATAGAGTGGAATAAATAAAGTAACTGGCCTGACTAGAACTGAGGGCTCATGTTGGGAAGAAATGGAAAACAAATGAAATAGGTTTAGTGGGGATGTATTACGAAGGGTGTTGAGGACCAGAGAGAGGGATTTAGATGTATTGACTCTGAGGAGCAGAGAGGAAAATTGGTGAATATGGGAGTGAAGATGGAAATTCTTCTGAATTGCTTGAGTTTGTTACAACAATCACATATTATTGTTGTAAGTAAAAAATTGAGATAGAGATATTTAAAAAACATGTTTGAGGCCTTACTGTTTGCTGGGTATTGTGCTACTATTGATTCCCATCAGACAAAGACTCCTAGGAACATACCTGCAGTTGAACAAAGTTGGGTTTATTGTCTTGTTGCTATGAGTAAGAAATTATACAGTGGTGAACCATGGGGCATGACAGCAGGAGGGCATCTCACATAGCAATTCCATTTTATCATTCTAATAAAGACAGGCTTTGAAAACATTTTAGTGGATGTCGATGACCAGTTAATTAAGGTTTAAAGAGTCAGTGTTGAAAACGTATTTCAGCTGGGCACACTTCCAGGTAAAATATACAACCTCTAACTACTCAGACTGAGGACTAAAAGACTGCTAAAGAACTGACAACATCTCGACCTTGTTCTTCGTTAGAACTTATAAATATGGCACATCTTTGGCTCACGAATTTTGATGAACTCTCATTCCAAACAGGACATTTCTCAGAGCGAGTTTCATGTCCTTATTACGAAGACTATAGATCAGAGGATTAAAAAGAGGAGTCATTACTGAATATACCAGTGTGAGGATCTTCTGCCATAAAGTTGGGATGCCATATGTAGGACTTACGTACATTACCATGACTGTCCCATAGAAAAGAGATACCACAACTAAATGAGAACCACAGGTAGAGAAGGCTTTTCTCCGACCAGCTGCAGAAGGGACCTGAAAAACAGCTCTTAGCAACAGGATATAGGATTGAAGAATGTATATACTAGTGAAAAAGAGAACAAGGGAGCTCTGAGTATAGAAAATACATTCAGTTATGGGAGCTGGAGCACAGGATAGAGCCATCAATGGGTCCATGTCACACAGGAAGTGATCAATGATATTAGGACCACAGAAGGGGAGTTGGGAGATGAAGAAAATGGGAATTGGGTATCCAAGGAATCCAGCGAGCCAACAGAAAGACACCAGCTTACCACAGAACCTTCCGGTCATGATGGCGGGGTACTGCAGTGGGTGGCAGATGGCCAGGTATCGATCATAAGCCATTACTGCCAGAAAGAGACATTCAGTTGTTCCCAGTGAAAAGAAGAAATAGAACTGGAGGAAGCACCCAGAAAATGAGATGGCCTTGGTCTTGGAGAGAATGTTGGCTAGCATGTTAGGAACAGTGGAGGACACATACCAGATCTCAAGGAAGGCAAAGTTTCCCAGCAGAAAGTACATGGGGGTGTGTAGTCGTGGGTTGCATCTCACTGCATAGATGATGGCTCCATTTCCCAGCAAGGTCAAGACATAAATCACCAAAAACAATGAGAAGAGGAAAATCTGAATCTTCCAGCAACCAGGGAATCCCAGGAGAATAAACTCTGTCATGACGTGTGTTGCTGACCTATTCATGGGTCTTAAATCTATGAAGAAGAAAGACATGAGTGTAATCCAAGTCTCTTGGAGTATAATCCAATTGCTTGCTACATATCTCAAGGACTTTATCAAGACGAGAACTTGAGCTATACGGGAAAATACACAAGACATTCTGAGATCAGGTGGGAATATGTCCTACCATATTTTGAACTGATTGTGGTTCTAAGTCTCAGTGTTATTTTGCTAGACTCCAATACCATCCAATGCAGCTGGAATTTTGACACTAGTGGCAGAACCAGACAAATGTATTTTCTTTCTTTTCCTTGGATGCTTGAGAAGACCTTTTCAGCTTTTGATTTGTTTTTCCAATGTTGATTATGGATTTTCTAGCACGAGCTCATCAATTTTCTCTTATTTAGCCCAACTTGTTAGAAAAGATATTTTGAGGATAACTGATGTAAAATTGGGTTAGATCTTTGACAACAAAACAAAATAGATTGACTGCTGCATGGAGATACGACTTCATGATAATATTTTAAAAACATCTGCAGTGTCTATTTTTATGTTTTTTACACATATTATACAAAAATGAACTATCTTACTTTTTGTAATCAGATACCATATAGATGAAATAAAGAAAATGATGTTTTCAATACAAAAATTTAGTTTATTTAGTGAGCTTTTTCGGTCGTGAAAACAAAGGGATTCTCTAAAAGAATCTGAGGTCAAATGGGGTTTTATCTGCAATCTTATCTATTAGAATATTGGTTACTGAAAGGAAGGTAAGGACCCTTTCAAATATTTGACTACGTATGTACTTTTCAGTAGTAACAAGTTTATGTATTTAAGAATTAAATAAAATATGCAAATGTGTTTAAACAACAGTAATCTTATACTTGATTAATACTTAAAATTTGCTGATTAAGCCTTAAAAAAATGATAGTTTTGGCTGGGCATAATGTCTTATGACTGTAATTCCAGCAATTTGAGAGGCCAAGGTGAGCAGATTGCCGAGGTCAGGAGTTCGAGACCAGCTTGGCCAACATGGCAAAACCCTATCTTTACTAAAAATACAAAAATTAGCTGGATGTGGTGGCGTGTGCCTGTAATCCCAGCTACTTGGGAGGCCAAGTGGAAAAACTGCTTGAACTCACGAAGTGGAGGTTGCAGTGAGCCGAGATTGCATCACTGCACTCCAGCCTGGGTGACAGAGCAAGATACCACCTCAAAAAAAAAAAAAAAAAAATTAAAAAAAATATATATAGTTTCAATATTGAGTTTCTTGTTAAGTTCAGATCTCTTGTCTTGTGTATTGCGGGTCACCAGCCATAACTTTGTCAGAAATGTAAAAAGACAAATGTGAAAGGCAACAAAGAACACAGAATTTGAAGGAAGGATCAGGTAGTCTTGGGAACAAAGATTTGAACTTCAACATCACTAGTTCTTTGGTAGTCTTTAAGGATGCATAAAAAGGGAAATTTGGAGCATCTGAGTTCTAAAGTTTTCCAGCTTTGCAATCAACAGTGAATGTAAAATACATGTGTTTATAGTCTTCCTTGAATAAGGTGCTCAATAGGTGATTTCCAGATTGTTATTTATGAAGCATAAATAAATCCCTTTCTCTGCTATACACTGGTCAGAGAACAAGTCCAGGCTCAGATTTAAATTGGGAACCAGAATTGTGAGATTTGAGTCTTCTGACCTTTGTTCTGAATGCCTGCTTGATAAGAGTAACAGTTTAGGACATTCTCCATTATACACTGACAGCTTCACACTACATTTCATCTTTTCTACTACCCTTCTCTGTAAGTGCTTTATTAGCAGCAACATTGTTTTTCCTGAAGCCTTGGAGAAATATAGATAAGTAATGGAGTGATCAGATGGTGGAGAGCTTAATAGAAATACCCAAGTAATCAATTTCAGAATTTTTGCATTGATGGAATAAACTGATTCCACAAAGTTCTGTATACCACCACCCTCCAAAGTCTCCAAAATGCTATCTGGGAATAGTTAGGTAATTAGAATGGAATATTCATTATTTTATGCCACAAACATACTGTTTCTCCTGTTTTTTGAGATATATCATTGTTTGAGCTACAATCCTGGGAGACTAGCTCCTTCCTCCCTCCCTCCCTTCCTTCTTTCCTTCCTCCTTTCCTCCCCTCCCCTCCTCTCCCCTCCTCTCCCCTCCTCTCCCCTCCTCTCCCCTCCTCTCCTCTCCGTTCCTTTCCTTTCCTTTTCTGACGGAGTCTCGCTCTGTCACCCAGGCTGGAGTGCAGTGGCGTGGTCTCAGCTCCCTGCAAGCTCTGCCTCCCAGGTTCACGCCATTCTCCTACCTTAGCCTCCCGAGTAGCTGGGACTACAGGTGCTCGTCACCACACCTGGCTAATTTTTTGTATTTTTAGTAGAGTCGGGGTTTCACCATGTTAGCCAGGATGGTCTCGATCTCCTGACCTGGTGATCCACCCGCCTCAGCCTCCCAAAGTCTTGGGATTACAGGCGTGAGCCACCGCGCCCAGCTGAGACCAGCTCTTTCATGTACTCTATTTCTTTCCAGTACAAGAAGCTACCAACCAACTAATCAACCCACCAATCCACCCACCCCGAGTGTGATAGCTTGATTTGATAGCCTTCTTTCGAATGCCCCTCACTTAGTGTATTGTCTTCCTAGGTATACTGAGAGAAGGAACATACCACCTGATAACTGCTGGAAAGTAAGATTGTTTTCAGAAAGATGGTTGTTAATAACCATAAAATCATAGAAGAAATGGTATAATAATCTAACTTCATTTTATAAATGCGGCTCAGAGAGGGGCATGACTTTTTACCCAATGAATGTCCTGGATTCACATATGGAACTTTTATACTATACTATTATACTGCCTCCTTTGAGTCTTTGCAGAGAAACAGTGCCTGATCAGGTTTATAAAGTCAAAGGGACTCTGTAGTAGATCATAGCAGTGGTTTCTTACCCACAATGATGGCTTTTCTGGCTCAGCTTGGAGTGAGTGGTGGGCATAGCAGAGCTGAGCATAACCTCAGCATCAAGCATCTCCTCTTCACTGACTCTGATGAGGAAAACTCCAGCTGAGGACATTATATGTGGTTTATCGCCCTTCCTTCATTCCCGGAGACCCTAGAGGCTTTTGTCAGAATTTGCTGAGAGGTTTAACATGCGAATCAGTGTTAAATCTGTTTTCTCTCAGGGATTACTGTAAAGCCCTGTGTTTCTCCCCATGTGGTCTCAGTGGCTTACCCAAGTTTCCCTGGAGTGCATTCTCTTTCCAGCACTGGGGGCTCACCTAGAATTCAGTATATTAGCTTGTATATATATATATATTATTAATTCTAGTATATTGGCTAGAATTAGGGAAGCAGAGGAGCCGATGGAATTACAGGAATTACAGACACATTGCAGGAGGCTTTCTATTGCAAAGAGATTGCATTCCATTAAGGAATCATCCTCTGTGGGAATCAGTGAAATAAATGGTAGTTTTGCCTATGACTCTAATTCTGAAACTGAGACATATTGATGAACACATCTTTTCTCTGTAGCTTAAATGAAGTGCTTTAACATAGAGGAACAGAACACTATATTCTATTGGTCACTTAAAAATTAAATTCACTAAATTTGCTTGAAGTCTTTCACTGTAAAGACCACATGGTTGGTATTGGGAAAGAGCTGCCTTGAGTGACCTTGATGATGTGTAATTAATGTGCAAGGAATTTCAAAATTGTTTATGTAGAGAAGTCATTTAATTGACAAATTTAGTCAAATTGTCAGTTTCCACTCATTTCACTTTCTAACAGTGGAGAATTTGAAACTAGTGCAAATTAGAAATAGATTTAGCTTCAGTTTAAAAAAAAAATTGGCCTTTTGTTTTTCTCCTGAAAAATTGGGATTTCTTCCTTGGATCCTCTTAATCTACTTCTTCAAAAATGCCTCCTAGGGAAAGTTGACAATGATGAGCAAGGAGAATATCTTCATTGATGGCTACTGGGACAGCTTGTAAGTGAAACTGAGATTCAATGAAAGTCTGTTCTAGGAGTTCTCAAATTTTAATGTGCATATGAATCACCTGGACATCTTGTTAAATTGCAGCGTCTGATTCAGCAGGTTTGGACCTGAAAGAGTGATTTTCTAACAAGCACTTAGGTAATGCTGACCTTGCTGGTTCACAGGACACGTGAATAGCAATGGTGTAGGCCAGTCATTAGAAACACCTGGGGGGCTGTTTAACACTTTCTTTGGCTAGAGTCACACAGTAAAAAAGAAAAAAACTCCTGATATCCAGATATTATGGCAGACAAATTAAATAAAAATCTTTGGATCGAGCTCCTGCATCAGTATTTTCTATATTTAGTGCTATGGTTTGGAGTTTTGTCCCCTCCAAATCATATGCTGAAATATGTTTAAGGTGGGGTGTAGTGGGAGTTGTTTGGATCATCGGGGTGGATCCCTCATGAATGACTTGGTGTCCTCCCTGCAGTAATGAGTGAGTTCTCACTCTATTAGTTCATGGAAGAGCTGGTGATTTAAAGGAGCCTGGCACCTCCTTTCTTGTTCTCTCTGTCACCACCATGTGACACACCTGCTGTACTTTCACTTTTGCTGTAAAAGCTTCCTCAGAAGAAGCTGAATAGATGCTGGTGCCATGCTTGGATAGCCTGCTTAATCATGAGTCAAACAAAACTTTTCTTTATAGATTACCCAGCCTCAGGTACTTTTTTGGTTTGTGATAGGGTCTTGCTCTGTTGCCCAGGCTGAAATGGTACAATACTTGGCTCACTGCAGTCTCGACTTCCTAGGCTCAATTGATCTTCCCACTTCAGCCTCTCAAGTAACTGAGACTACAGGTGTGTGACACCATGCCTGGCTAATATTTTTCATTTTTTGTAGAGACAGACATGTTGCCAAGGCTGATCTCAAACTCTTGGGCTCAAGTGATCCTCCTGCCTCAGCCTACCAAAGTGTTGGGATTATAGAAATGAGCCACCACACCTGGCCTCAGGGTAGTTCTTTTATCAGTTCTGGGAGCCTTATGGAGGAGCCTTTAGTGTTTTCTAGGTAAACAATCATATTATCAGCAAACAGTGACAGTTTAAATTCCTC